TTTGCTCATTTACAGGATAAACACCACAACTACCTCAAAGGGTGTTTACTTATTTAACTTTGTCAACAAAATAACTAACTGCAAATAAAGTTTTTAAAGCAAAAATATAAAATAAAACTCACTTTTTGTCTCATCAAGATCACATCCAGGGGGACTTTCTGCTATTAGCACCAACTGACTCAACTCCGGTGTTAAAGTGAGCTGCTTGGCCTCGTTTATTACATTTGGCTTGAAGAACAGGTCCCATTTCTGAAGCAGCCTGGATGATGTCTCAGCATCAAATAGGAGAGTGAAATCTTGATCCACCTTTAAGAAAAAAGTTATCAGACTATAGACTATCTTTATTTTCAAGCCACTAAAAGCACGTCATTCCAAACTTACCAATCCCTTTGTGTCTAGGAATCTTGGGAAGATGGAGAGGATATCAGTACTTCTGTCTGCATCTTTAACAAGCCTCTGTCGATGCTTAAAAGTCTCCCTCATCTTTTGTAAGATCAGAGACTTGTCTGTGGTATGGTTAAGCAAAGAAATGGCCTCTTGGTAAGCGTCCCCATCAAGTTGCCCTTCTAAATTAGTAGCCCTCTGGCATTCTGGGCCTCCTTTGGAACTATAGAGGACTTTCTCAGAACTGTTTGGTGGCAAAGTAGAGCTTTGACGAGACTTCCTCTGGACTGTTTTTAGACGCCAGGCGATGTATCCTGTGTTACTTGTGGCATCATAGAAGTGTTCCTGAAATTAAATTAGGATTTTTTTTTAGGCTTATTATCCCCCCAACATGATAATGTCTTGCAAACAAAGTGTCATAACATGCAAGTATGACATGAAAGTGCCATGCAAATTATAACAGTAACACTTACATAGCCTTTTTTGGAATATAAAATAAAATAAATCAGAAAGTGATTTTTAAGTAAACACCCTTCATTGCTTTGCATGGAATGACCTTGATAAACCAAGGGCTGTGGGAGAAGCTGTGGTGTGGAGCTAGGGGCAGTGGAGCCAGAGAACTTGTGAACTATGGAGGGAACAAGAGATAGGGAACTATGTCATAGAGACATAACATAAATACAGATCTTTGCTTAACTTAACATACCTTGAACTTGACATGTGGCATGACTTAGATTTCCTTGTAACTGACCTGAATCAGCATTTTAACTGGGAAATGCAAGAAATGCACTCACACTTAAACATACCTAAACAAATAATTTCTGTTTGCGTTGTTGCGCAGATTATAGCGCCCCCAGTTACTTAACTTGTTATCAGTGAGCCACAGTTTAACACAATGTGTGGTGCTTTCTGCTACCTTGTAGGGTCCTTGCCACCGCGGTTCATGCCAGTGAAGTTTGTGCACCTTGCGGTAGACCCAGCTGTCCACGGCAACTGAGGTCGGCTCCTCAGCTTGGTCTCTGCAC